CCTTGACAACTATTATTTAGGTAAGAAGAAGGTAAGAAGAAGTTTTCACAATTTTGCCACTGATATGAGCACATTCACATAACATGTAGTTTATTATGTATTCTCTCTGAGTTTCGATAAGTTAATAACACATATATAACTAAATATTCAAGTAATTTTAGAGATTTTGTCTTCATTTTACCTGTAGAAAAATAAAAACTACATTTTCACCACCTCCAAATGTATTGACAGTAAGCAGGTGGGTGATTGCGTTAATTAGAAAACCTGCGCAGTACTGGATCATTCTGTTACGACAGAAAGAATCTCATTTTTTACTTTTATAATAATGCAATGTTCTATGCAGAATCACAGGAAAATTTTGACAGGTTTACCGTTTTATTTTAGTGTCACCGTTCATACATATTTAATCAAGTTAATTGTTATACTTACATACTCTGTAGTAACTATAGTAAATTATTTTATGTTGTTTTTTTTCATCTATAAGTGGTGACAATTTACTGCAATTTTTTTTCACAACCTTAAACTTCATACGCTTAACCAGCAGCCTTACGGCTGATATAGCTCTGCTCTAAACTGTTGAAAATAACAATTACTAATTAATTAATTTTACTTAAAATTGCAAAAGGGTCCAATTAAGATTTCTATGCATAAAACATTGAAGCAATTCGGCTTGCTGTTTTCAAGAATTCAAAAATAGCATTATTTTTTTTTACAAAAATATTTCTTTAAATTTGAAGGTATCATCAAAAAATGAATGTTCATTGTGTGTACAAAGATGGACAGTAGCTGTCCATGTATCCCCAAGATCTGGGTTGCGAATGGAAGAAATGCTTGATTTTGATGAATTTTAACATAAAAATTACCATCATTCGGCCATATTGAATGCATCTGATCAAGCAAATATATGGGGATATGTACGACAGTTATTTTGAATCCAGTCTAAAAAACACAATTATGTGCTTCAAAATTCCACTATGTATAACATGTCAATGAGAGGGAGAATAATCCACTATTATTTCCCTAATTATTACTGTGATATTCGTTTGTATTATTGATTCAATATTATTCAATTGTGTTACAGTATTTTCTTATATTGTTATTGTGATTCAATCGTCTTTATTACATGTTTAACTCGAAGAGAACTAGCACAAATAACGATAACAGACGCCATTTCAAATGCTATTCTCTTATTAGCCAATCATAGGTCATAGCACTATGAACCAATCAGCACCAAGCCCGCTAAAATTTGTTACGGTGGCTGATCCTACCGAGCCTATAAAAGGCCTGAATACTTGTTTTAGCGCGCGAGTACATGTAACCTTTTCTAGTGACGACTTAATAAAAGCAGTCTCTTCATATCGTGTATTTGTTTCCTGTTCTTTTGATCGACCGTCCCTTGTTTTACGCGCCTTGAACTTTACGCTCGTTAGGGTTGAGATAAGTGAAACCCTACTCTCAATTCCCCCCACATAACATTTGTACCAAGATTGAACAAAATCCATCCATAGACAACAGAGTTATAGCTCTGTATGTATGACAAATCATTAAACAAACAAAAAATAACTGAATAATGATCTACTACAAAGCAAATCAAATTTTGTTGTTCCATCAAAAATCCTGGCAAAATCATTCCATGGTGACAACGAACTTCCGAATTTCAGCCTGTCAGATACTGATCAATACCTGATGCACTGCGTTATTTGTTGACAGTTATTGTCTTCTGTACAATAAATACAGTCATGCCTTTTTCTTTGAATCCTGCTTCGGGAGTGTGTTAAACACAATTTAGAATGTACATGAAGTTTGATGTCAGACCTTCACTCAGATGCAGTGGAAGGATGAAAAGCCAACCTGTAAATTCAAAAGGGAGGCACCTAATGGCTAAACAAGAAACAACTCAGGAGTCTGAGTCTGTTCATCTGAGGCTACTAGTAATCTTAAATATGCAATATGGACAAAAACATGTCATTTTTAATATTGAAAGTTTATAAATTTACCAGACTATGATTTATCATGACAAGAAAACGCCGTTTTCTAGCACACATCTGAATATTCACTTAATGAAAACAATGAAAATCTCTAACACACATAT